GACAATATTTCATTTAGGGTTTTATTCAATTCTTTTTCCAGCGATTATTAGAGTAATCTTTTGATTCAGAAGACAAGATCTAGCTGATTGGTGAAATAGGATAAAAAATTGAACCGGTATCTGGGGATTAGTATATTGTCTGGAGGGATTTTTGTTTGCTTTCATGGTTTTTGCATTCTGATTATGTGCATGTGCTTGTTTATTGATTAAACATTTGAGAAAGGATTGCAATAAGGTTAGGTATCTCAGGATTGGTACAATGTTTGTTGACGATTGTAATTTTCTCCTCTTTGTTCTTTGTTTTGAATTCTGCATAACTTTATATTCTGATTGCTTGTGTTGAAATTAGTTCACTTAATCAGAAAATGATCTGGTTTAAGGTTGCCAGGATGTTAATGAATCAATGGTTGGTTCCTCTAAAACCCTTCTTCTGTAGGGTTAAAAGTTGAATCTTTCTTTATTGGATAGGAGAAGATCTAACATCAGATGATCACAATAAGTCACACAAGATGATAGTTGTCTTCCTTTGATATTTACTATTCAAATTACAGTCCAAGTGGAAATGCAACAAACTGAATCTGCCCCAAGAGTAGGAATCAATGGAAGAGCTGTTAAAATGGTGCCCGTGAGTGAGGTAGTGAAAAGAATGACTCCAGCCACTAGTAAAGTGGAGAAGGTGAATGGTGTAAAGCAGGTTATAAATGGTGCTAGCATAGTTAGGAGCGATAATAGTCCTGCCTTACTGAAGACGCCTAAATTTAGAGTGTCTAAAGAACTTCCACCATTAGAGGAGTTGAAGGTTCTGCTTTCAGTTGGGCGAATGAGAATTATAGTACCTAGTACCTTGCAAAGGACTAAAGACGTTTGGCCTTTTGTTCTTTATTTACGTGTTCATGTTCTTTAGGACAGTGCAAAATGGGCATATGTGAAAGGCTTCATATAAGATAAGCAGGTCAGGTTAGCAGTCTGTTGAAACATACCACTCCAATTATAGCTTGTAGAGTTGGATATCTGTTAGTTCTTACTTGACTAATATCCATAATCTCCATCTTTAATGTTTCTTTTGAAATGTATTTTTTGTCTTGCTTCTGATTCTTATAGATTTTGTTAATCACGAGCAGATAAAGAGGAGGAGAAAGACTTCCCCATGGCTACGAGAGCATGTATAGCAACTTTGTCCTACTTTATTAAGCTTGGACAATTATCTTCAACTAGGTCATATTTATGTTTAGTGAATTTGTGGATGAGCTTGCTAAATTGCTGGTACTCTTGCTTTCTTTCTCTTTAGTAATTCGGAAGAGACTTTCTGTATTACATTATGCTTTAGGTACTGATAAAATTCTAGTATTCATGCTCCTCATTCAGTGGCGGATCCAGGATTTTAAGTTAGGAGCAAATTAAATAATAATTGTAATTTAAAAATTTTCACTTATGTTATTATATTATCGAAAGTTATAAAAATTTTAAATAAAATGCTACGTTCTATAATATAACCATAAATAAAATGTACAAAAAATTTCAAGTACTGAAACAAAAAATTATAGCTGTTTAAAAAAAATTGTTTTTGTTAAACTTCTTTGAATAGTTTTGGCTTTTTAATGTGAGTCATATTTAACAAATACAATTTTTTAAAAAATTTTTTAATGAGAATTAAACTATAAATTTTAATATGCCTTACAAATTAATTGGAATTTGAAAATTGATTTTTTTTTGTCTTAAAAGTTTTTTTTCAATTTACGAGTACAAATTATAATTATAATTAAGTATTACATAGTATAATAATCAAACAAATAAACTAATCAACAAATTAGAGAATAACTAAACTAATCCAACATAAAATTGAAATAAATCCACATATAATAAAATTTGAACCTAAAATCTAAAGATTCTAAACATTTGTAATAACAAATAACAACTTTTTAATTTTTTAGGAAGGGGCCATTTCCAATTTTTTAAAAGAATGCTTCGAAATTATATACATTATATCAATATTATATCAATATTATATCAATAAGTATTAGAGGGCTTGAAAAATCTTTTGGGGCCATGGCCCCCTCTTGTTTTAATGTGGCTTCGCTACTGCCCTCATCAATTGAACAATGCTACAACCGGAGGAGCATAGATGCTGACATTCAAAGCATATACATAGATGTTTCTTCTTTACAAAACTATTGAACTTCCAAGTTCTGATTTCTCTTCTGTAAATTTTGTGTTTCTCATGTATCATTTGTATCATTATCCAGAATAAAGTCCCTGCATTCTCACCAAAAAAAGCCAGACGCTTCAGCGAAATTGAACTGGGAGATCCTATCAATGTACTATTTGATATTTACTATTCAAATTATAATAACTCGATATTTAATATTCAATTTATAGTCCAAGCGGAATCCAGATTAATTCATGCACTGAACGAAGTGAAATTATCCAAAGTAAAGTAAGCAAAATAGTTTTCATAAGGGAGAAAGTCTACTAGATCATACTGATCATTCCTTGAATTATGCTCTGGTTGATATGTAATAAGCTTTACATGACTCGCTAAGACAGTCCTAGTGATATTTGTAACTTCCCAAATCCCTTGCATTTCCAATATCTAAAGGGGTAATAATGGGCCAGAGAAGGGAAAAAAGATATGTTATTATTGGAGTAGGCTGCGCAAATAGTTATAATTTCTGCTGATTGCAGTGTCAAGAACCTTTATCTTTCATTTGCATTCTTTTCATTTTGGCCTTAAATCACGAAATTAGCTGTATATTGCCAATTTATCAGTACAATATACTGCTCTATTTTGCCATACCTTTAGCGACAAGGATGTTTGACATCTCTTTCAGAATATTGCTTGACATTTACTTGAGTTGTCACTTACTTGACTGCAGACCATTCCTTCTAATATGTTTCAAATTTGTGTTTATTTACTTACTAATTGATTAGCTCCCTCTGATATATGTTTTGTGCTCATCCAACTGCAGTCTAAATTATTTGTGGATTGGACAGAGTGAATGAAGCATTGAAAGCAATCTTCTGTATTGCTTGGAAATAAGAAACATTAGGGGAAGCATTAATATTGGCTGCAAAGAAAGGAATAAGGACCTTCAAACTGATCACTGGATCATGTACATGACTTAGACTAGGAGTCTGGAGGCTCCCAATTTGCAAAGCCCTTCTCATCAGGTAACTTACACGAACTGAAGACATTTATCTTTAGAAGGAGATAGTGATTGTTATATTTCAGTAGTGTTGGTCACATCAAAATTGCTAAAAAACATAGGCATATATAAGCTTGAATCAATTATGATATATGAATAGAGTAAAAGTTGGTGCATATGCCATCAATGAATGAACATAAACAGGGAAATATTAGATAAGGAAATAAATCAAACAAACCATGCAAAAAAGTAAAGAAGCAAAGAACAGAGCGGCATCAGATTTTTATGTGGAAAAACCCTTCCAAATGTTGGATGGGAAAAAAACCACGGGCAAAGCAAAGGCCATCCACTATTAGATAAATGGGTACATAGTTCTGTCTGAAGTTTGTTTGCATAAACTTAAAGGCTACGTACTGATCTGGCTCTTTTATCTAATAAACCACCAGAAAATCTGAATGCAACTCTGGTTCTACTTAAATGGCAGAAGCTCATCAAGATCAATCCCATTCATGAAACCAACCGTCCAGTTTCAGGTGTGCATCAATATTTTAACCCTTACGTTATGTTTAGATAAATATTAATAAAAAAAAGAAAAAAAAAAGTTTTTTAAAAGAAAGAAAATAATACACGTATCCTTGTTTGGATAATTAAAATTAATAAAAAAAAAAGAATTCTAATAACTATTGTTTGGATAAAGAGTGATAAAAAAAAGAAAATGATTCATTATAATAGTTTTTTCAATTATAACCTTTCATTATTTGTAATTTTAGAGTATTCCTCTCCAAAAATACTCAATTATTGTCTCATTTCTTTGATTATCCATTTATACAACAAAATATTAACAATAATTATTATTATCATAAAAATATAGACACTAACACTTGTATGAAAGAAAATAATATTAAAACAAAATTGAATTAGAGAATTTTGAGACATGAGGCATTTAACAATAAATTATACATACTACAAATAATAATACTAATATTTATCAATTACTCACATATATTAATTATTATAATACTAATATTTACTAATTAAGTTTGTGTGAAAAGCGTATTGATATATTTATAATCATAACCAAATTAATTGTGTCTTAATGAGGCATCCCCCTTTTCTCACTTTTATTTTTATAATGTTTTGGAATTACCCACATCTTAAATTATAATATACTACATATAAAAATAAAAAATTTTGAACTAATTCAACATTTCATAAATTTAAAAAAATGTCTATTCATATTCAATCATTTGTCAAAATTAAATAACTAAAAATTATAAAAAAAATTTTATATTGAAAGAGACATGTGAAAATTATTTAAAAAAAGAAATGACTTTGAGAACTTATAGAAAATGTTAGGTTTTTTTTGCTAGGCTTTGGTATTAATAAATAGATAGATATAATAGTTTTTTTATAAAAATAAAATTTTTTTAACTTTACTTTTCTTAATTTTTCCTTCAAATTGGGATATTAAAAAAGTAAAGATTACAGAAAAAATTAAAAGTTATTGAGTTTTTACCTCTGTCATTTTCTTTAAATTAAAAATTTATTCAAACAAAAAAAAAGTTTTTCTATTTACATTACTTTCCTTTATTTTTCTTTTCTTTCCTTCACTTCCCTTTAATCCAAACATACTGTTAAATCTTTAGAAACAAAGTGATTACCAAAATAGTGAAAGCTGGTATTGGTCATGGTATGCACCCCGTTTCCCTTCTTCTTACTTGGAACAACAATCGCTTCATCTTTGATCTCTTCAATAATATAGTCATCTACATTTAGGCAAGTATTAATATATTCACCCGGAAGCTCTTCAGGACCAAAGATATCAGCAAAATCAAGAGGGATGATACCGGTCATCGTCTACATTCTGCTCCGATCATAAGTTTCTTGATGCCTTTCGTTTAGACTCCCTTGATGATCAACAAAAGCTCTCTTAATAGTTGGAGCTGACGACTCTTCATCGTTAACCTCAAGCGATTTACGCTTCTTGTTCTTGGGTTCTTCTTCGTCTTTTCCACAATTAGCAACATCTTTATTCTTAATCTCAGAAATGACATAATCACTCAAACCCTCATCCATTAAAGAAAACTCATGCATAATCCAGTTGCCATTGCATTGGTTTGACTTATCTTTCTTGCATGTAAACGTCAAGTATTTGTCCAACCCTAACAGCTGACCACTTGCATTCTTTACTTCTTTGGTGTTTCGGCCAAGCCAACATCCACATCCAGTAGTCCTATCAATACTCGATTTACTCTTTTTCTTCAACTTGGTGAAAACCCAAAAAGATTTATTATCATCTTTGTTGAAAAGATTCCAAGGCACTTTCTTTTCTCCATAAATCTCACCCTCAATCAAAATATTACAAGATAATGTCTCTCCATTAATGGCTGGTCGAAGGTGATAAACGGAAATCTCTTCTTTGGTGGGTAAAAATCTGAAGCCACGAGGTGTTGAAAACTCTGATAAAACGATTAACATGGTTATTATAGGATGCTCTCTCTACTGAATAAGTTTACGTATTAATTTAGTTTCCTAAACCACTAAACTTATATATATAGATTTAGATGTGATGGGCCTCAAGTGTTTTAGTCTAAGCGTTTTAGGTTTCTTTTTTTTGTTGCCCCTGATAATTTGCCCATATAAAAAATAAATATAATTTAGTTTTTTTCTATGCCCAAGGAATTTATACTTGGAATAATAAAAATAGACTTACTACCTCAAATATGTTTACCAAAAAGCAGAAAAAAAAAGTTTTCTTGATCAATAAAAAAAATCATACATAATATGTTGATCATTTTAGTTTAAGAGAATTAAATTAAAAAATAACTTTGAAAAGTTAAAAAAAAAAAAAAAGAATATGGAGCTGGTGAACGTTTGTAGTGTTTATTTCACAAATGGAACTGCTAACATCATCAGCTATATACAAACATGAATCAAGTATAACTAATCCTAGAAATTATCCTTTGCTCAGCTGATGACATCCAAGACTTCTTCCTCGTTCGCTGTGGCTGGAATGTCTAATGCCTGCCCCTGGAAATCGAGCTGGGAAGTCTTTGGACTGAAGGAAGAGAAATCCAGCCAATTTAATTTGCATCATGGAATGCAAGCTTTATGAGATATGGCATATATACTTGTGTCAGGCTTGCGTAATATACTATCATCACAAATTGAAAATATGTTCTGAGTATCATTGATGTGCCTGACTCTGAGTAGACTATGATTGTAGTTTCAGTTTATTATTTGCATGCAACCAGGCCTGCATGAATTGTGAACTTTGGGCGATTGAGCCTCAACTGAAGTCTTTAAAAAATGGGAGATGGATCAAGCAGCCCATGTTTAATTAGGTATATGTTACTTACATATGCATTTGATTACATTTTGATCCTATTTTGATTCTTATGATGTAAACGTCACTAATTGATCTTTACACTTTCAACGTAATAACAAAATGCACTTTCCTATTAATGTTTTATTTGACAAGGTGGTGAGAAGAATTGCCGTTGTGCCATAAATATGTTTTATAATTGAATTCATAAAGTTTTAGTCATAAAATAAAACTTACTCTCATCATCCTATCAAATGAACTCTTAAGTCTCGAATCAAACTAGTTGAATCACTTAACCTGTGTAAGGTGAAGTGTATTGAAATTTTACTTATTTGGATTTTTTTAATTTTATTTTAAAAATAAATATAAATATAAAATATATTTTTTAGAAAAGAAAATGTGTAAAAAACTATTTATTTTGTTTTTAATTATTTACTTATTGATCTTAGAAGTAAAAAATGGAAGATATATTTTCTTGCAAAAACAAATGCTAATATATTTCCAAACGTTCAAATAAAAAAGGTCAACTTTTGTAAATAAAAAAATATATATGCTTCTACCTTTATATAGACTAATAATTTTTTTTAATATTTATATTTCTATATTTTTCTATATTTAAGAAATTTTATTTTATTTAAATTTGATATAATTTTCCAGGCTTTTCCTTTCCTTTTCGGCAAGATTTTTGGAAATAAAAAAATTAACTGCTGCATGGCCCACACTTGCTGCATATGTTAATCGTCGCAAACTTTTGGCGCCAAAAGGACGGCTTAAATTTTAGTGTAATTACAGAAATAACCTCCTATTGATACCTTTTTTTCAGTTGAAAATCAGATTCATAGAAAACCAAATGGCGCCAAGAACAGGAAGAGCTCTTCGATCGTCTCCTCCAAATTTTGACTCTGATCGAAAAGGTTTCAGAATCTCCGTCTCCAAAACGTATGCAAAAACTCAAAATCTCAGAGGTAACTTTTCTATTTTCTAAATCAATTTATGGTCAAAACCTTTTCTCTTACAAGTCATTAATTGTTTGAAAATCATTCATTTAGGGTTTCATTTAGGTTTTTGGAAGGATTATTACAGCAATTTTTCGATTCAGAAAACAAGATCTAGCTGATTGGTAAAATAGGAGAAAAAATTGAACTGGTATTTTTTGGCTTTCATGGTTTTTGCTTTTTATGAAGTTCTTTTGAAAGAAAGCACACATTCCTGCATTGTAAATATTCATACACTTCCAAACAAGTCATTGTTTGTTTGATTTCATTTCCTTTGCTGGAATTGTTCTTAAAGCAATGTTTTGATATTAGAGCACAAGAGCTATAGCTGATAGGCAACATTTGAGAAAGAATTGCAATAAGATTTGCCATCCCGGGATTGATACAACATTTGTTGACGGTTGTCATAAATCTATCTTCTGATTGCTTGTGTTGAAATTAGTTCACTTAATCAGAAAATCATCTGGTTTTAGGTTGGTAGGATCATGTCAATGAATCAATAGTTCATTCTTCTAAAACCCTCATTCTGTAGGGTTAAAGGTTGAATCTCTTTCTTTATAGGATAGGATGAGATCTAACATCAGGGTAATCACAATTAATCATGCAAGATAATAGTTATCTTCCTCTGATATTTACTATTCTAATTGTAGTCCAGAATCAAGATTAATTCATGGACTGAACAAAGTGAAAATATCAAAAGTAAAGCAAACTTGTTTCCATATGATCTCCCTTCAAGGATGCTTTGGTTGACATGTAATAAGCTTTACATGACTCACTAAGACTGTCCTAGTTATACTATCCCCTGCATTTCCAAAATCAAAGGAGTCATAATGGGCCAAAGGAAGGAACAAAGTGACTTTTTTTTTTTTTTGGATAAATAATTTGTATTATTAATCCATAAGTAAAAGTCTACACAAAGAATAAAGTCTGAGTAATCGAAATACAAAAAAATTTCAAATACAGAGGTGAACAAAAAATATATCATTGAAACCAAAAGAGTGAAGTGGATGTGGTCTTCCCAATAACGGGATGACTGATGATTTTTAATTTGACAACCTTAATGATTTGATGTACCAAGGAAGCAGAAAGAGAGGCAGGGGATCCATGCTTCCTTTTGTTTCTCTCTCTCCAAATATAATAAATGAAAGCTGACCATGCTAACTTAAGGGCTAAAGTATCTAAAATTTTGTCCTTTAGGTGGCTGATTGCTCATCGAAGCTCAGAATCCCAATCACCTGAGGATCTGCTGAGGTTTGCTGTTTGCAGAACATCAGACCAGATTTTATTTGAGTAAGGGCATGAGAAAAATATATGATTTCTGCTCTCATCAAACTGGTTACACAAATAACAAGTTGTGGATTGCAAGAAAATACCCCAATTCTTGAGTCTGGAGAGAGTTGGCAGTCTGTCAAGAATGCAAAGCCATGAAATAAAAGCATGCTTTGGGATATGATATGAGGACCAAAGGAGTTGGTGCCAAGGAACTTTACTTTGTTTATGCCTCAAGTGGTTCCAAGTCTCATAAATAGAAAATTTACCTAATTTTGAAGCTAACCAGTTGGGAAAGTCAGATTTCTAAGAATCAAGAAAAAGAATGCCTTCAACACCTGCTTGTACATCTTGAAAGATGAGTGAGCGAGTTCGAGGCCATTGCCAGGAATTGTTTTTAATGATGACCTCAACTTTTGCCTCCTTGGAGAAGCCAGTAGCAAACTTGATGCTGTTGGAGTAAATAGTTAGGAGAGTGGCCCGGGGATGCCAGTTGTCAATCCGAAAATAGGTTCTGCAATCATTACCAATGATATGTTTGATGAGAGGAAAGGCCATTTTCCTGGGATTGAGAATTTTCTTCCAAGTCCGGCTAGAAGAATTTGGTTGGGTGAGCATCCAAAAATTCCTATCCTAGACAAGATAGGTGTGAACCCATGCTACCCAGATAGAACATGATTGGCAATAAGGAGACTGTTACTATTGGAGAGGCCTGTGCAAATCCAATAAATAGGTTTGGCATCTATTCAGCGTTAGTAATTGGGCAGATCCAATTTGGTCGATAGGTCAAGTCAATAACTGCCACCCTTACTTTATTTGAATTCAACCTTAATTTACTCCGAGTAAGGTTTGGACTGGATTTGGTATGGTGTTGGATCGGTGATTCTGAAATTGTAGGATTGTCTTCACCAATGAAGACATAATTCACACTCCGAGCCTCTTCCTCTATTCAAAGTCATAGTCTCCATTACAAACATGACATGCAGGCATCATCTTATGACTCTTAAGAATGACACTAGAGCTTCTATATCAAGGCTACAAACAGTGATATGTCAATAAAGAACATCAAGCAAACCTGCTTCCAAAGCCGCTTAAAACTTTTGAGCAAGAAATTGGATTTGCCATCTCTAAGCATCATGTCAAATGCAAAATAAGCTCCATGTCGCTCCAACTTAATCAGCTGTTTGATCATTACACACTAATACTACTTGCACTAAAATATGTCCATTGAGTGGTGTGTTTTATACTGAGTTCATTTGTGTTTATTTTCAGGTTAATCAATCTAATGGTTGTTGCGCCTACCATTGCTACGGTTGGATATCCTGTTTACATTTATGGTTTCCCACTAGTTGGGACATGTTTTAAGATTTGTGCCATGCAGATATTGTTGGTTATTATTTTTTTTCTCTTGCAAGTTTTTGAGACTCATTTTACAGTTTGCAAGTTTTAGGTCCTAATTATTGTTGATCATTTTATTGCTGGCTGAATGCCTAAATAATTAAAATCTGGATATTCCTCTGTTACTGGTTTGTTATAAAAAAATCTGAAAATGTTTCCATGTTTGCGGTATCTTCATAAGATATCTGGTCTTGGCCATCTCATATATAATCTATGAGGTAAGTTTTTCATTACAGAGTAGTCGCATCATTATTCCATGTGGTTTTTTTTAGCTTTTTGGTGCACATTTTATAATGTTGTTCACATATTATTTGTGGCCATTATCTGGCTTTTTTTACTAACTACCAGGTTCCTTTGGGCCTTGGAATCACAGAGGCAGCTGCTTTCCTTCTCACTGAAGCAGGAGCCTATAGCTATAAAAGCTGTGCTACCAAGTACCAACCTCAAATATAATAAATGAGCACTGCAGAAAATATGTTTCCAGGATGAAGCTCTGTCGAGTTGATACATCTCATCCATTGAAATCTCCCCCATGGCCTAGGTTTCCTTATCCATTACAATGGGGAACTCCTGTCTTCCACTGGAAAATGGCCCTTGTCATGTGTGTGGTCTCAATAATTGCCTCAGTAGATTTGGTTAGTTTCCTATCATCTATAACAATCATACATACACTGTAGATTCATAATCTTGTTGCAATTTGAACATAAAAAATTCTAATTTTCTTCCGAAATTGCTAGTCCAAGTACGATATACTGCTGGATTTTGCCATACCTTAGTAACAAGGATGCTTGACATAGAAATCGATTTTCTTGCTTGTATGGCAGTGGATTCCTACTATTTGGATACAAAAAATCTTTCTCTTTATGTTCTACTCTTCTGTTTGACATGGCTTTCAGAATACTATGTCATTTACTTGACATTTACTTGAGCTTTGACTTGCTTGACTGCAGACCATTCCTTTGAAGACAAATTTGTGGATTGTACAAAGTGAATGAAGCTATCTTCAGTATTGCTTGGGAATAAGAAATATTGGGGGAAGCATTAATATTGGCTGTAAAGAAAGGAATATGGACTTTAAGAACTCAGAAGTGCTCACTGGATGATAACAACTGTGCAATGATCAATTTTCAGAGTCCTTCTCATCAGGTAGCTTGCACAAACTGAAGACTTCTATTATTAATGGAGATATCGATTATTATATTTCAGTAGTCTTGGTCACATTAAAATGGCTAACAAACATAGGCATATATAAACTTGAAGCAATTACGATATATGAATATAATAAAAGTTGGTGCATATGCCATCAATGAATGAACATAAACAGGGAAATATTAGGCAAAGAAATAAATCAAGTAAACCATGCACAAAAATAAAGAAGCAAAGAACAGAGAGGCATCAGATTTTTACGTGGAAAAACCCTTCCAAGTGTTGGAAGGGAAATAAAAAACCACGGGCAAAGCAAAGGCCATCCACTATTAGATAAATGGGTACATAGTTTTGTGTCTTTGTTTGCGTAAACTTAAAAGACTACTGATGATCAGTAGCTCTGTTTTCTAATAAACCACCAGAAAATATGAATACAACTCTGGCTCTACTTAAATGACTGAAGTTCATCAACATCAGGCCATCCATCCAGGTTCAGGTATGCATCAGTATTTTCACCCGTAAGATCTTCAGGAACGATGTGATCAGCAAAATCAGGAAAGCTGGTACTGGTCATGGTATGCACCCCGTTTACCTCCTCCATACTTGGAACAGCAATCGCTTCATCTTTGATCTCTTCAATAATGTAGTCATCTACATTTAGGCAAGTATTAACATATTCACCTGGAAGCTCATCAGGACCAAAGGTATAAGCAAAATCAAGAGGGATGATACTGGTCATGGTCTGCATTCTGCTCGGATCATAAGGTTCTGGATGTCTTTCGTTTAGATTCCCTTGATGATCAACAAAAACTCTCTTCATAGTTGAAGCTGACGCCTCTTCATCGTTAACCTCAAGCGATTTACGCTTCTTGTTCTTGGGTTCTTCTTCGTCTTCTCCACGATCAGCAACATCTTTATTCTTAATCTCACAAATGACATAATCACTGAAACCTTCATCCATTAACGAATACTCATGCATAATCCAGTTGCCATTGCCTTGGCTTGACTTATCTTTCTTGCATGTAAACGTGAAGTATTTGTCCAACCCTAACAGCTGACCACTTGCATTCCTTACTTCTTTGGTGTTTCGGCCAAGCCAACATCCGCATCCGGCAGTCCTATCAATCCTCGATTTACTCTTTTTCTTCAACTTGGTGAAAACCCAGAAAGATTTTTTTTCATCTTTGTTGAAAAGATTCCAAGGCTCTTTGTTTTCTCCATAAATATCACCCTCAGTCAAAATATTACAAGATAATGGTTCTCCATTGATGGCTGGTCGGAGGTAGTAGACGAAAATCTCTTCTTTGGTGGGTAGAAATCTGAAGCCGGGAGGTGTTGCAAACTCTGATGAAACGATTAACATGGTTACCATAAAATGATTGAATAAATTTACGTATTAATTTAGTTTCCTAAACCCATAGATATAGATTTTGATGTGTCACTGTCAGTCTCAAGTGTTTTAGTCCCAAGTGTTTTAGGTTTTATTTTTTGCCGCCGGATATTTTGCCGATATAAAAAATAAATATATAATTTAATTTTTTTCTATGCCCAAAGAATATATACTTGAAATAATAAAAATAGACTTATTGCGTCAAATATATTTATAAAAAACAAAAAGTGTTCATCGCATTGGCTTAGCAGAAATTTTCAAAAAACTTTGAAAAATAAAAAAAGCATATGGACATGGTGAAAATTTTATTGTGATTATTCCACAATTTTAAGTCCTAACATCATCACCTATACACAACCAGCAGAAATCAAGTATAACGAGTCCTAGAAATTATCCTTTGCTCGGAGGATGACATGACACCCAAGACTTCTGCCTCGCTGGAATATCTAATTTTTGCCTGATTTATGTACTAGATTATGGCCATTATCTGGGCAGAATTAGAAGACAATCGAACTGGGAAGCCTGTGGACTCAAGGAAGAAAAATCCCTCCAATTTTGCAATATGGAGGCAAGCTTTATGCGATATGGCATATATATCTGTGTCAGGCGTGCACAATATACTATCATCGCAAGTAGAAAATATGTTTGAGTATCACTAATGTGCCTAACTACTCTTAATAGACTGTGATTGTAGTTTTAGTTTGTTATTTGCATGCAACCAGGCCTGCATGAATTGTTAACTTTAGGCGATTGAGCCTCAGCTGAAGTTGTTAAAGAGTGGGATGGATCAAGCAGCTCATGTTTTCCCAAATGGTACTGTTAAAAAAGTTTGATGCCATTGAGGTACTAAATAAGTAAATATTACATAAATATTAATTTTTTCTTGTTTTTCTTTTAAGTTTCAGTTTTGCAAAGTAGAAACATCCTTAAAGCTCATTATTAAATTTTTTTGGTAGTACATGTTTAAGAATTGCAATCGACTTCTGATTCAATTTAGCCTACATTTTCTACATATGGTTGCTAGCAAGCAAGTTGGCTTTGTTATTGTTTTTCAACGTGACGTCGTATTGTTTCCTTAAAATATATTTTGAATATTTTTGCAGTCCACAAAAGAAAGGGAGCCTTTTAGGAGAGTCCATGGGGGCCTGGAAGACCTGCATGGGATATTGAGTGCAGTGCCCTACGTGCTGCTTATTTGGGTTACTCTTTTGATCTACTTGGTGGAGGTATGGTCCTCGTGTAACCTCACCACGAAAATGAAATTGTTCAAAGTTATTCAGCATGTAAACAGAGTAATATAAGCTACTGGATACACAATGGCTTTGTCATTGTTGACTCTGAGAAAATGTCCAAATCGCCGGGAAACTTCTTCACATTAGGCAGGTTTGCTGTGATCTCTTTTAACACTTTTTATTTTAATTTGAGTAGTCAATAACTTTTCTAGGATTCATACGTTGCTAACCTTTTTACTGCTTCTCAGGTTAAAGATATTTGCCATCCACTGGCTTTGAGGTTTTTCTTAATGAGGAACTACTATCGATCTCCAATCAACTATTCTGATGTCCTACTTGAAAGTGCTTCAGAATGTATTTTCTACATCCATCAGGTGTCTCTCCCTCACTCGATGTGTTGTGTGGGTGCGTTCAAGTCCACAAATATTAGGGTGTACAAATTGTTGGACCAATAGACCTTGTCAATCACATTCCTTTCCACCGTGGTTTTATTGCAGTCTTTGAGTTTCTGATATAGGTTTTACGATTGGACGCACATAAATTTCAGAATTCAAACAGGCATCAACTTAAAACTGATGTTGAATGATTTGCAACAATAGGCATCACGTAGAAATAAAACTGGGAATTAGTTCAGCTTCTTTGATATAATATGTTTCATGGTGAAAGCATAGACACTTTGAATGTCATCAACAAGTTCCATGATGACTCTTTGGTTTTCATGTCTGATGATCTCCACAGTCCAGTTGTTTTGGCAGAATTATCTGACTCACTGAAGACCATCAATAATCTGCTACATACTCGTAAGGTATCAGGTTTTAAAATGATTGATTAGCCTTTTATATTTAACTTCAAAATGCTGCTTTGTTGTTTGACCATAAGTAAAGCATGGTTATGAACATATGGAATCATTAATCACTCGTTTTCAACCTGAACCCCATTCCAAGGACGGATGGAAGCCTCCATTGTTGATGAATCCATAGTGAATTTTTTTTGTCATATGTTGATTGCTTCTGCATTAGGGTCATTTTTGGTCACTAAAAGTACAAGTGGGGTTATTTTGTGATCTTCGTTTCTTTTATAACTGATATCCTTTCAGGGGAAGAAGCAGACTATAGAATTGATGGCTGCTCTAGAAAAGATAATTCGGAATGTTCCAAGTGTCCTGGGGGTGATGCCCACAAGTTACTCCGAGGTGAAGACTTGATGCCACGTATTGCTCTCTATTACATGTTTCAAACTTACAGTTAGAATTTTTTGTTTATATCAAGTTATTTTTTGAGATATGATCTGATTTTCTTTATCATAATCTACAAACCTCCCCTGTTCAATCAATTTGCCTTTTAACCTGGAAGTTATCGAAGCAACTCCCTTATGTTGTTATATGCTTTTGGTCTATATTTGGTTCCCAGTTAAACTTGCAGGCACTGCAGCAGTCAAGAGAAATGGCACAGAAGCTGGCGAAGTTTACAGAACATCAAATCTGGAAAAAAATTGAGGAAAGACTTAAGGCAAGAAAGAACAAAGAGTATGAAAAATCAGATGCATTTAGAAAAGCTTTAGCTGTTATAGGAATCTCTCTTAAGGACTCTCCAACCGGCACAAGCTGGAGACCAGCTATTCCGCTTCCACTGCAAGTGGCTGCAACCCGAATGAGTTTCGGTGTCCACCTACCTTGTCTCCAAATTTTTGCTGTATCTTATAACTCTAAGCCTTTATTTAAGCTAGTGGGGTCACTTGACCCGTGCCAAATCAAGCCAATTGAAAATTGTTTATTTAGATTTTTTCTAATTTCATTTTAAAAATAAGTGAGCAAATAAAATATATTATTTTGAAAGGAAATTTAGAAAAAAAAATTAAAAATTACTTTATTTTTTTAGAGAGTTAAAACGTGGGTAACTAATAATAATAATATCATCTATATATAAAATTGTAAACTCTAAAACTATTAAAAGTGAATAATATAAATACTCTTATAAATTTTAAGAAACAAGAAATTTACCTTTAAATTTTTAGTAATTTTTATTTATGTATTAAAGATTATTTTCTATTAAATATATGGCATTTATTAGTTAATTATTTAAATTAATCCAAAAATGTTAAAAGTGAATAACATAAATATTCTTATGAATTTTAAAAAATAACAAATTTACGTTTGAATTTTATAGCATTTATTTATTTATTTAATAAAGATTATTTGTCATTAATTATATTTTTTATTCGTTAGTTATTTAAATTTAAATCAATTAAAAATTTACTAATAGAATTTATATCAAATTAACTACATTAAAAATTTATTTGTGGGATATAGTGGATGTGTTGTCGAAAATTAACCCAAATTTACTTTTTTTTTTTGTAGGTTTTTTTTGTTCAATCTCATAAGTAATAATTCAATTAAATTCATATAAACACATTTCTCATCCTACAACTATGGCATACTATCAATCCCTTTTAAATTTCTAGCATTTTTTATTTATGTATTAAAGATTATTTTTCATTAAATATATAGCATTTATTAGATAATTATTTGAATTAATCCAAAAGTGTTAAAAGTGAATTGCATAAACATCCTTATGAATTTTAAAAAATAACAAATTTACCTTTAAATTTTTAGCATTTATTTATTTAATAAAGATTATTTGTCATTAAATATATAGCTTTTTATTCATTAGTTATTTACATTTAAATCAATTAAAAATTTACTAAATAGAATTTATATCAAATTAAACTTCATTAAAAATTTATTTGTGGGATATGGTGGATGTGTTGTTGAAAATTAACCCAAATTTACTCTTTTCTTTTTTTTTTTGTATGATTCTTTTTTGTTTAATTTCACAAGTAATAATTCAATTAAATTCATATAAAACACTTTTCTCATCCTATGAGTTATTGGATATTATGAGTCCGTGATATTAAACAAAACATAAATAAAATCTTTCCTTTGTTGCTCAATTAGTCATTATTTTAATCTAAATTATTATATCATATTTATGCCCTAAAAACGTTTAATTTTATCTTAAGTAAAACATATAATTTTTCTTTTTCAATGTACAACTTAATTTACTCTTTATCTTCTTTAATAGTACATATCATGAGTCCTTAAATATATTTATATTTTTTATTTATTTAATTTAGATAAATTAAAATTAAAGTTCATACAAAATTATTAATTAAATTATCAAAAAAATTATTGAGAAAGAGTAATATATGTGTTGTGGTAATTTTGTATGTTAGATTTTTTTTTAATTATAAATATATATTTATATGTTTAATGATTACAATGGTTGATTTATTTTACTGTAATATTTCTAATCACTCTATGCAATTACGTCTTAACGTTACAATGCCTAAATAAATCTTTGCTTTATGAATATAATCTCTCATACATGTGAATTGTTACTAAACTTAAATTTTATTTTCTTCTATAGATTGATTCTATATTACATCCAAGTTAATTTTAGTCAATCTTTTTTTTTTATTTTTAATATTAAATATTTTTTACTTAATATATTTTTATGAAACCATAGTCAATATTGTTAAGAAACATTAATCTTGAAGAAGAAAAATTATCTGATATAATGTTAGTTGAGTTTTTTTTTTTTTAAATTCTACAAATGGGTTAAAAAATTAACACATTACTCACTTATTTTTTCAATTAGGTTTTTGTTTTTTTAATATCACTCATTTATTTTTTGTAATTGGCCTTTTTTAATATACTCTGAAGCTTAAAAGGTGTGTGTTACG